TTGGAGATAGTGGACAGCCGTGTCATGTTCCTGATTTTAATGGGTGTGCTTCTAGTTTTTCCCGTTTAGGATGATGTTGGCTATAGGTTTGTTGTACATAGCTTTAATTGTATTGAAGTATGTTCCCTCAAGACCAATTCCTTCTCATACTTTTAACATTAATGCATGTTGGATTCTGTCAAAGGCTTTTCCTGCATCTATTGAGATGATCATGTGGTTTTTGTCTTTAAGTCCATTTATATGTCTTATTACATTTACTTACATATAGTGAGCCATCTCTGCATCTCTGGAACAAAGCCTACTTGATCATTGTGAATGATTTATTTTTATGTGTGTCCATATGCGGTTTGCAAGTATTTTGTTGAGTATCTTTGTATCTGTGTTCACTAAGGATGTGGGTCTGTTGTTTTCTTTTTTTGTTGTTGCATCTTTACTTGGTTTTGGTATTAGAGTGATACTGGCTTTAAAGAAGGAATTCTGGAGTTCTTTCTCTGTTTCTGTCTTTTTGAATGATTTAAGCAGTATTGGCTGTAGATCTTGTTTGAATGTGTGGTAGAATTCTGCTGTGAATCCACCTGGGCCTAGGCTGGGACCATGATTTTAGAAATGCATCCATTTCTTTTAGATTTTTTAATTTAATAGAGCATAGATGTTTAAAGTATTCCCTTACAATATTTTGGATTTTTTTGGCATCTTTTGTGATGTTTCCCCTTTCTTCTCTGATTTTGTTGATTTTTATTTGCTCTTTCTTTCTTTTTCTTCACTTGGCTAACGATCCGTCTATCTTGTTTAACCTTTCAAAGAATCATCCCTTAGATTCACTGATTTCTGTATTGTTTTCTAAGTTTCTATTTCATTAATTTGTGCTCTGATTTTTGTTATGTCTTCTCATCTGCTAGGTTTGGAGTTGGTTTGTTCTTCCCTTTCCAGAGTATTGAATTGTACTGTTGAGTCATTTTCTTTCTGATTCTTTAATGTAGTCACTAAGAGCTATATAAAGCCTTGAAGGTTTTGTTGCATTGTGTTCTCAATTTCATTTTGCTCCAGGAATGCTTTTATTTCTTTCTTAATTTCTTATTTGACTCATTCATCATTCAGGACTGTGTTGTTTAATCTCCATGAGTTTGCGTAGCTACTAGAGCTTCTTTTGCTGTTGATTATATATTTTGTTTCACTGTGATCTGAGAGAAACCATGGAATTATTTCCATTTTTTTGTATTTGTTGACATTTGTTTTGTGCTCCAGAATGTGGTCAGTTTTAAAAGAACTTGCACGGGCTGTGAGTAGAAAATTCTATGGTGCTTGGGTGGAATATTCTGTAGATGTCTGTTAGGTCCATTAAATGCAAGATGCCATTTAATGAGAGATCTCGCTCATTATTTGTTCAAGTTGACCTGTCTATTGGAAATAATTGGGTGTTAAAGTCACATACTATTACTAAGTTGGGGTTAATCTCTTTTATAGTCCTGGAGTACTATTTTTATGAAATTGGTTGCTCCAGAGCTTGGTACATATATATTCATGATTGTAATATCTTCTTGGTCAAATGTTCCTTTTATTAGAATGAAGTAACCTCTTTATCTCTTCTGATGAGTTTTAATTTGAAGTCTATTTTGTCAGCTATTAGAATTGCAACAACTGCTTGCTTCTTAGGGACATTTGCATGGAGTTTTTTTTTCCATCCTTTCACCCTAAGATAGTGTCCATTCTTGAAAATAAGATGAGTTTCTTGAAGACAACAAAAATATGGGTTTTCTTTCTTGATCCATTGCACTAAGCCTGTGTCTTTTGAGATGGAGTGGAGACCTTTGATATTAGTGTTATTACAGAAGGGTGTGTATTGGATAGAGGAATTTTAATTTCTTTATGTTTGTGACCCTGTTTTGTGTTTCTGTTGTTATATCTTACTTTGTTTTCTTTCTGTAGCCTCTTGGGTATGCTCATCCCCTTCTTAAGTCCTTTGTATTGCTTTGAGTATCCTCTGTGGTCTTGGTTTGGATGACATGAATTCTTTCAACCTTTCATGTCATGAAAAATTTTCTTCTCCCCTTCAACCTTGATAAATAGTTTTCCTGGATAAAGTATTTGGGGTTGGAATTCCTGGTTGTTTAGAGGTGGGAATACTTTGGTCCAGGCTCATCTGGCTTTCATAGTTTGCATTAAAAAGTCAGCTGAAATTCTGATGGGTTTTCCTTTACATGTAACTTGTTGTTTTTCTCTAGCAGCTTTCAGTACTATCTCTTTGTTCTGTACATTTAATATTTTTACTATGTTATGTCTTGGGGAGTTCCTGTTCTTGTCATATCTAATTGGTGTTCGATGTGCTTGTTGAATCTCCTTAGGTATCACTTTCCTTAATTTAGGGACTTTTTCTTCTATAGTGCTGTTGAAAATCTGTTCAATGCCATTGACCTGAGTTTCTTCTCCTTTCCATATGCCTATAACTTGTAGATTTGGTCATTTCAAGTCCCCCATTTCCTGAGCTTTCCATTACTGAGGTATTTTCTTTTTTAATTTTATATAGCCTTTGCTTAAGGAGTCCAGATTGTCAACTTTATCCTGAAGTCTTGATATACTGTTTTCCATTTCATTCTTTCTGCTTGTGAGACTTTGCCCCTGTTGTTTCTAATTGGTTTATTGGGTTTCATAAGACCTTGTTCATTTCCATTTAGGTTTTCTTCACTATTTCTATTTCTTTTGTGAATTCACTTTTATTATTTCATTAAGCTGCATATTTGTATATTCTTGGACTTCTATTATAAGTTTATACCCTTACTCTTAGTGTTGTTTGAGTTGTTTGTGCTTTCTTGCAGTGCTTTGATCATGATTATGAATGCTCTTTTAAATTCTGTGACATAGAGTTCTTCAGGGTGGTTGGTTTTCATTGCAGTGCACTTCTGTAGGATTACTGAGCTTTGTTGGGGACATATTTCCATGGTTTTCATATTACTTGTGTTTTTGTGTTGCCATTTAGGCATATGGATGTTCTTTATTGGGTATGTGTTCAACGGGAACATCTACTCTGCTTTTGTTTAATTTTGGTTCTGTTAATATTCTTTATGTAGATTATTTAATTTTTGTTCAAGCAAGGAAAATAAATTGGTGGGTGTTTCACATTCTTGCAGGGTAGTGGACTGGTCAAAGTCCTGGCTGAGCCGATCTGTCTCCTGATCCAGAGGCTGGGAAATTTGAAGTGGGGGGACTGCCTGGGGAGGGACTTAAGAATCTATGCTAGGGTGTTTAGCTAGTCTGGGGTGAGGAAGCTAGTCCACGGATCTGAAGTGAAGGAAACTCTAACTGAGGCTGGCAAGGATCGGGGTGAGGGTAGGTGAGAGGAATGGAATAGAGAAGCAGTCTATCCCTATATTTTTAAATGATGTTGGGAAAGACGTTTCTAGGCATGTATAGTAGAGTATTAAATATATGCTTATTTTACATGGAAAAATGAAATATTAACTTTTAATAGTAATTAGTTGTTGTTCAAACCTGAAAGTAACCATGGACATGGGAATGCTTATTTCAAAGAAAGCAAAGGGATCAGCATTCGAGGGCAAGAACCAAAGTGCCCCTTTGCTCTTCTTTTATTGGCTTGCAAAACAAATACAATGGGAAAAGCAGAAGCACAGTACCTTCCAAAGCAGCTTGTCCAGGTAACTCTATTTTGCCCAGTCTCTTCTCTTTATAAGATTTGGTTCCCTTCATTTAGTAATATTGAAAGGTAATCATTACTCTTTTTCTTATGCTGCAAGTTATATGAGATTATATTGCAGTGTTTTCATTTAAAAGTTGTCGCACAATGCAGCCTAACCAGAGTCTATGGAATTTTTGTTACAGCAACCTGAGCTGACAAAGGCATTATGTTTCGTTCATGTCATCACCAGGGTTATGTTTTTAACTTTCAAAACTGTTCCATTTATTTCAACATGCCTTGTATCAGGCTCAACTATGCCCTTTCTCTTGTCCATACCAGATGACCACAGGCATCAAGTGCGGACACTTTAACTACAAACACGTATTTGGTGATTTGTGGGAAATGGTGGTTGTAGGAAAACAAGCGAGAAAAGTGCACATGCTTTGCTGTTTAGATGGGGTAGAGGTACCGGGGAGCACTCTCTACCCAGTAGACTATGACCAAGGGAGAGCACACCTGTATTCCACGAATCATGTGTTTACGCACATTTTGTCATTTACGTGTAGATTGAATTAACATGCAATCTGGGCTGAATTTAGGGGTCTGGGAAAAGGAAGGTTACAGAGATAAGAGCTTGGACTAGGCAGAAAATCTATGATTAAAAAAATTCTTCATCTAGAGTTTTCTGTTCCCTAGCTCTACAGAGATAAGGAATTATGGGTGGGCCCAATGGACAGACCCACGCTGAAGGCTATTTGGGGACACTATCACACTCCTTTTATATATAAAAGAGTGCACATGCAGAGGGCAGTGGAAGAGCTTTGGAAAGGGGAAAAGATCTAAGTACCACCAAAGCATGCTGTAAGAATATCACAAAAAAATCAATAAAAATGTTTTTTTAAAAACGAGACAAAGGAAGACACAGTTCATGTGAGCGGCACTGACCTGGGATAAAAGCACTCTTGTTCATAATCAAAGCTTCACAATGAAACACCAGGATAACTCTTGACAATTGATTTTACCTCCTTGTTTTTATTTTA